CATCGCCGCTGATCCATCAGCTTTCCGCCTTATCGTAAGGTAGATTCCACATCGCCAACTGAGCCGCCTCACTCGAATCCTTGGTTGATCATACACCAGCAGCCTCGTTGAACCGACACCATGACGGAACCTGCGAAAACAGAAGACAAGGGCAAGGACCCAGCCAATACCCGACAGGAGGAGCCGGAGGAGACGAAGACCACCGAGAGGTTCCCACCCGAGGAAGAAGCGGCATGTAAACAATCCGTCCCCCCACGCAAGACCATCCCAAGGCGAGCCCGACTGACACTTCCGCCCGATCCCACAGAGCCTGGTCAAAGAATCCAACGACAAGAAAGCCGAAGCCAACGCCCTCTTCACCGCCGCCAAATACGAGAACGCCATCACGCGGTACGAGGAGGCGACGGCCCTGTGCCCGCACTACCTAGACTACGAGCTGGCGGTGCTGAAATCCAACATCGCCGCGTGCCATCTGAAGCTGGCGCAGTACAAAGACGCCATCACCGTCGCGACGGCATCGCTGGACGCGCTGGCACGGGTTGAGAAGGCCGAGTTCGGCAGCACGAAGGAGAAGGACGCCGAGAAGGAGGCCGACGAGGGGCAAGTAGAAGAAGAGGAAGCCGACGAGGAAATCGTCAGCACCGGCGCCCAGAACAGCGCGCAGCCGGAATCCGACGCCCGCCGCCGCCGCGACGACATCGCCCGCATCCGCGCCAAGGCCCTGCTGCGCCGCGCGCGCGCCCGCGCCGAGCTCGGCGGCTGGGCTAACCTCTCCGCTGCCGAGGAGGACTATAAACTGTTGGCAACCATGGACAACCTGGGCCCGGCGGACGCGAGGACGGTGCGCGCGCAGCTGAGGAGTTTGGGACCGCGCGCCAAGGCGGCCCAGGAGGAGGAGATGGCGCAGATGTGGGGGAAGCTGAAGGATGTGAGTTCGGATTTTGATGTTTCTATGGAATGGATGGTGGGAGGTACTAACGTGGTGATGACAGCTCGGAAATGGCATTCTCAGCCCCTTTGGCTTGAGCACGGATAACTTCAAGATGACGAAGGATGAGAAGACGGGTGGCTATAGCAGTGAGTATCTATTATTTGGGCTTTCCCCCCTGGCTTGGGGATGCTAGAGGTCCTTCCTCGAGGGTAGTGGGTGTGCTAACTACGGCGATCTAGTGAACTTCTCTCAGAACTGATCTGCTTCCGTTGAGATGGTAAGCATCGCTACGCACAAAGGATGCGAGGAAACACGAGCTCTTCTTGACTGCTCGATTTTGAGACGATACGGAGACCATATCTCTCATATTGCCGGTGCGCGTGGCACGAGACAGGCCGTCGTCGTCTTGAGGCGCATGAGAGCACCGTAACCCGTTCAGCCACGAAGCCGCAGAAACCTCCGCCACCCCAGGAACGAACTCTTCGTTCCTCCACGCCAACCAACCGGCTGTCTCACGCAGTAACCGGCAGAAATTTCCTGCCAGAGTAGAAAACTGGACAGCAAGGCCTTATATAGAGAATTAGCACAGTAAATTGGTGCCCTAGTGGGCTGTCGAATGATATCTTCCAATATCTTCAAAACTAAAACTTCCAAGTTCATCGAAGACTCGCAGTTCAACTCTAACAACAACTTCAAATCCAAACTTTTTTTTTCCTCGCACAGAACGTCACCAGTCAAGGTCTTGTCTTACCTGGGGTGATATTTCACGACACGAAGTCGTGTTGAATTTTTCGAGTGCATCGCGTGATTGGTCGACTTACCCAGCTTTTCCTTCAATTCTCTCGTGACGCCATCCGCAACACCAACCCATACTAGGTATCTATCGAGCTCGTGATTCGGAACCTCTCCGTCCAATGAACGGAACACCGGAGAGCAAACATACTACCCGGCCTGCCTGCGCGAATCTTATTCGCGTCCGCTTTCCGAAGACGGCAATCATGCATCTCGCTATCTAGGATCCCCCACCGGTCTGATAAGGCAAGCCTGTTGTGTCTCATTGGGATTCGGGATCTATCGCAAGGCAAGCAAGCCATCTACGTAGGTAGGTCACCCCGCGGTCTCACCGAGATAAGTACTTTACCAAGGGTAGGTATCTGGGGGAGCGGGTGGGCTATCATATTAGGAAAGCAAACAGCGGCAATGGCATGTACCCAGGTAAGTAAGTACCTACTTACTTAGGTACTTAGGCAAACGTCAGTCGGCCCTCATCAGGACAGACAGATAGACAGACAGACAGACAGACACATTGATAGCGGCATCGTCTTCTTGCCGAATTCCTGCCCCAACTTGAGTATCGCTACCTACTACCCAACTTAACAATGGCGACCGTAACCACCGCCAGCGGCGCCTCCTGGCAGTCCGTAGCCGGCGACCGACAACGGCACCGCGCCGCCACGCTCGCGGCCATCCAGCCGCCGCCACCACCACCCCTCCCCTCTCCCCTCCCGCGAGACGTGACGTCCGTCCCGGCGACCGCGCTCACGCCCGCCGAGCTCGCCATCACCTCGGCGGCGCCCGAGGCGCTGGCCGCGCGCCTGGCCAGCGCGCACTGGACGGCGGTCGAGGTGGCGCGCGCGTTCCTGCGGCGCGCGGCCCTCGCGCAGACCCTCGCGAACTGCGTGGCGGAGCTGCTGGGCGGGCGGGCGCTGCGGCGGGCCGCGGAGCTGGATGCGTTGCTGCGGGCCGAGGGGCGGCCGGTCGGGGCGCTGCATGGCGTTCCCGTGAGCGTCAAGGAGCATCTCGCGATGAAGGGGCTGGATCTCAATGCTGGGTTCGTGAGCTGGGTCGGGCGGGTGGCGGAGGAGGATGCGTTGATTTGTAAGTTTTGTTGATGGGGGAGGGGGGTGGCTGGGAAAAAGATGGAAGGGATTCATTCGCCAGGCCAGGGGAGAGAGAGGAGGGGTGGCATGGCGTCGGTGAGGTCTTGCTAACACCGGACAGTGCAATGCCTCTGGGAGGCGGGCGCCGTGTTCTACGTCCGCACGACGCAGCCGCAGACGCTGATGCATCTGGAGACGGCGAACAACATCTACGGGTACGTATTGCCGCTTCGGGGGGTCCTCTCGCCGTTCTGTCTCGATGAGGAGGCAATCCCAGAGATGAACATCCGACAATCTACCTGTGCCTCACTAACACCCCCAGCACGACCACAAACCCCCACAACACAACCCTGACCGCCGGCGGCTCCTCCGGCGGCGAAGGCGCGCTCCTCGGCCTGCGGGGCTCGGTCCTGGGCATCGGGACGGACATCGGGGGCTCGATCCGGTCGCCGGCGGCCAACAACGGGGTGTTCGGGCTGAAGCCGACGGCGCTGCGGCTGCCGGTGACGGGGTGGGCGGTGACGATGGCGGGCGCGGAGGCCATCCTCGGCACCATCGGCCCGCTGAGCACCAGCGTCGAAGGGCTCAGGATGTGCGTGAAAGCGGTGCTGGCGGGCGAGCCGTGGCGGCGCGAGCCCGCGTTGGTGCGCATGCCTTGGCGCGAGGAGACGGGGGAGAACAAGAAGAAGAAGAAGGAGAAGCTGAAGGTCGCCGTCCTCTGGCACGACGACGTCGTCCTCCCGCATCCGCCCGTCACCTGCGCGCTGCGCGAGGTCGTGGAGAAATTGAAGGCTAGCGCCGACGTCGACGTCGTCGATTGGGTGCCCCTGGAACATGCGCGCGCGTGGGGGATCATCGTACGTCCTGTCCCTGCCCACGTCCCAGCTTACCTACCTACCTACCTACCTACCTACCTACCTACCTACCTACCTGCCTGCCTGCCTGCCTGCCTGCCTGCCTGCCTGCCTTCTGCGCGCAAGAGACGACGAGACTGACGTGACGTGAACTCACAAAGTCAAGCCTCTACTTCGCCGACGGCGGCGCCGAGGAAGCCGCCGCGATCGACGCGAGCGGCGAGCCGTGGCTCCCGCTGTCGGACTGGATCCTGCGGCAGAACCCGCACGGTAAGCAAGAATCCGATCTTGGATCCGCGCTTCGAAGCCTGAAGGACCATGGTTAGAAGTGACTGACGGAAGCAGTGCGCGACCACTCAGTCGCCAGCCTCTGGCGCGCCGTGGCCGCGCGCGACGAGTACCGCACCCGCTACGCCGCGCACTGGAACGCGACGTCCGCTCACCCCGACGGCGGCGAGGTCGATGTGCTGCTGACCCCCGCCGGACCGGGCGTCGCGCCGAAGCTCGAGACCGCGAGGTACTGGGGCTACACGGCGCAGTGGAACCTGCTCGACTACCCGGCTGTGGTGTTTCCTGTCGGCGGGAAGCGCGTTGGGGATGAGGGGGACGAGAACATGAAGTACCCGGACGGTTACGAGCCCCGAGGCGAGGCGGACAGGTATAACTACGACTTGTGGCGGGAACATGGCGTTGAGGGGTACAAGGGCGCGCCGGTGTCGTTGCAGTTGGTTGGTAGGAGGTGAGTTTGTGGGTTTTCCTTCCGCTGTGGTGTTGTATTTGGTGTTCCCTGCCCATGATATCCCCAGCTTTGTTACGGCTGTCCGATGGGGTGTTTGGGATCGGGGCGTAAGCTGACCACTATCGCAGATTCGAAGACGAAAAGCTGCTGAAGGCCTTGGAGGTGGTCCTTGATGCGGCTGGACTGCCGCGGCATTGCTGAGGCGAGGGATTGGGTTATTCCTCATGGAGGGGAATGAGAGATGTCCCAGTCGTTGCTTTCGAAGCTTTGGAAAATCACGGAGTTCTCGCCAGACTTAGTTAGGTACTGGTTGATTGTATCGACGTGATATCGACCGGTGGTAAACGGGGTCAAGTCACTATAGGAGACACCTAAATGTGTCCTCATTTGACATCTTTGATAAGTCCGATGAAATAATGACAGTGATTCAAAACTTGCCGTCATCTTGAAGAATGTTATGAGAGGTAGTTGGTCTAGCGCTGAACGGCGCGCAAAGTTTGCTGGAAGAGAAGAGTTATTGTTACGTGATATAAGACTCATTCAGAACCTGCAAACTTCCATCGGGATCCACACTTTATCCGGCTCCTTCCTCATTCGGTGGTATAGTATAGTGGCTAGTACAACACGTTGTGGTCGTAAGAACACAAGTGTTCCGTGTAGACCTGGGTTCGATTCCCAGTACCGCCAGCGTAACTTTTTGACTCCCGTCCTCCCAACTTCCATGTCACTGCAACCCACGGAAGGGCAGGCAGTTCTCTTTTTTTGGGACCTGGAGTCGCTTTTGGATTACTGAATCAAACACATTTGCTTGGTTGTCAAGGGAGCAGCAGCAGTATGCATAGAGTCTCGTCTATCTGTAAGGCGATTTGGACAGGCAATTGTGCTGCATTTGTGGTGATAACCCTGTAGTAGAGGTGGAAAGCAACTCTTATCTGAGGCATCCGAAATTTCTCGGTAATTGTCTGCAGCTGGTAATATTCGCGACGAGTCACACAGCATTGCCATTTCAATTCACTGGCAATGAGAACTTCCTTCCCTTAAAGCTGACCTCATCTCGAACCCAGTTCTTTAACCCAAGTGCCTGACCAGGAAAGAATTTAATGGCGTGCCGCACAGCATTCCAATCTTTCACAGAAGCAACCAACCACTTCGAAGCGGTGTCGAAATGTCAATAGCCAAAAGCACCGAGACAACCTCGACGCCGAGTTTGGAACGCAGCACAGAAAGCCATACTAGGGAAGTCTTTCGAACACCCCAGTGCTGGTACTTCGCCTCAAATAGGTCTGAACTGCCGCTCAAGCGTTCCGTCTGGTAGGCTGGGACAAGGCATCTATCAAGTTGACTTGTACACAGGTTAGCTTATCCAGGTCGCTCGCGGACGAGCTTAACATACCTATGCTACCCATCGGACCGGATTGATTTCCACAGGCCACTATGGAAGACCTCGAGTAGCCTGAAGCGAGACGACTGAGACTCTCTCTTTGGGTGCATCGTCATATGCTTTTCTCCTGGCATTTTCCGTCGCCTCTCTGTACCAAGCCAGTGCCCGACCAGAAGCTGCGCATTCCGAGAGCAGAGTCAACCTCTCGAGCGCTATATGGATCAGGCATTGCTGCTGGCGGGGTTCTTGGTCGTCTCCGGCATTGTGGCCATTCCTGCTTCCACTAAGAAATTGTTTGCGACGTGCGCTAGGTTGTAGTTGAATCCAATAAGTTCGTCGGGATCAACTCAGAGATTCTTCAGGAAATGACCCTTGAATTTCCTGTTGGCACGGTCGGCAGACCGATACTGGAACTGGTCCCCGTGGATCTCGAACGTGAACGGCGTGCGACTTTCCGTAGCATCATCCTGGGCCGGGACGTGAAAGCGGAATATCGTGCCCTCCTTAGGCACAATCTTGATCTTGTTCTGTTGCGTGATGACCTCGAACGTGAAGCGCGAGTCCTTCACGACAATGCCCCGTATGCCCACACGACTGGGACAGCCGCTCCTCGCGACCTCGACGTAGGCGCCATGGAAATCCGCCGCGCTCAGCTTGGCGGCAGCGCCCTGCCCACCAGTATAGACCTCGCTGCCGAGGATCTCGTGCATGTAGCCGATCCACAGCTTATTCAAGGGCTCGAAGATGGCGTACTTCTGGCCTTCGCGGGGGATGTCGTACAAGCCGAGCCGTCGTCGCTCGCGCGCGGAAAGGGGCTTGGGTTTCAGGGCTTTAGCGCGCTGCTGTTTCTCTTTGCGCGCCTTGCGTCGAGCATCGCGGGCATTGAACGGCGGTGGGGAGCTCGGCCGGAGCAGCAATGGCCGATGCTGGATCTTCTCGGAGTAGATACGATTCGTGCTGTCGGGGCTGTGGGCGCGTGAGAGTAGCGCTTGCGTTAGGGTCGCATTGTCGTTATTCGGTGCCATGGCGATCTGTGTGCCTCGATAGTGGTTGGGAAGCATCAGGAGACTACCGAAAGCCCGTAGTTGCGTTGCGTTGGGCTTCGAATTTGTGGCCTGGAAGCCTGGACTTGTTGGAGAAGGAAAAGCTGGTGGGCAATGATGGATGATGGATGGACCTGCAGAAAGTTTGGGTCCCCTCTTTTCCCCAGTGCCGGCAGCGGTGGCTTCACTGCCTTCACATGCCCCGAAACCTCGGTTGGTTTACCCCAGATGACGTGCCTCCACATCGTCCCAGGGCCTATCAGTCCGCTGTCGCGCATTCTTTCCCGCCTGTCCACCTGATTCATCACCACGTTGTCACGCTTGTCGGCCTTCCTCTTTGAACCCTTCCTCTCTCCACGCCGAAGGGGGGCTCTCCATAGCTTCTCTACTATAGCAATGTCTTCCTCCATCTCTTTTCATCCTTAACTGTTCCACCTCCCGCCCTGCACCCTCGTGAAGATCGATTGCCCTGTGATAGTCGCCGCATGTCCCGACTAGTACGATTCGGAGGAGTGGCGAGTGTCGTGTTGACGATAGAGACTCCTTACCACCATGGCCCAAGATGAAGATCCGATGCGCGACTCTGCGCCCGACCTACAAATCCTGGGAGACCAGATCACTCTGCAACCCAGGTCTTATGTCGAAACACGACGCCATGAGGGCGAACAGGAGGAAGCCCTCATGCATAACATGGCACGCTTTCGCTCCGAACCGCTCCAGTACGCTTAGCTCGTCCTCCATGCCATCGTTCGATCAAGCTGTATCCAATTCCAACAAATCGCTGACAATTCACCCCTGTCAGGTTTCTTCGCGAAGTCTCCCTCTACGTCTCCGGCACGGGCTGGCGCGCCTACGACAATGTCATCGGCCAACCCATATTCTACTCCGGCTTCTCCGAACAGATGAAGAACTCGGTCGTGTCCACTCCTTTACTGCAAAATCGCATATCGCAGCTCGCCGCCAAGCGATTGGAGGTAGAAGAAAAAGAGGGATGGTTGAGGAAAGACGACAAAGACTATGGGGTAAAAAAGGCTCAGAGGCGTTCGGCGCTCGAGTCAGGTCTTCAGGAGGTCGCCGAGAAGATGACAAACGACATGATTTGCAAGTTCGAGAGCAAGACGTTCATCCGTGGTGCCTACTATCTCGTTACGCAACTGCTCACTCGCGCATATCACCAAGGTGAGCTGCTCGCCCATTCGACCTAGGACCGTTCGTGGAGTTGACTTGTATAGGGATTCACGTTTCTAGTGAAGAGGTCCTACGGTTGAGGAAAGTCGCCGAGGAAGCCGAAAGGAAGAAACAGAGCATCATCTTCCTACCTTCACACCGGTCGCACGTCGATTATGTCTCCATGCAATTGATTTGCTATCGTTTAGGTCTCGCCCTCCCCGTTGTCGTCGCGGGCGATAATCTCAACTTCCCTGTTGTTGGAAGCTTCCTGCAGCATGCTGGTGAGTTCCATGTCCAAAACAGACGAAGCCGGTCATCGCTGACGTACCAGGTGCCATGTGGATTCGGAGGTCGTTTGGCAACGACGCATTGTATACAACACTTGTACAGTCTTACATAGATACCTTACTGCAAGGAGGATATAATTTCGAATGTTTCATAGAAGGCGGTCGATCACGGACCGGAAAACTCCTCTCCCCCAAATTCGGCATTCTCAGCTTCATCCTCGACAGTCTCCTGTCCGGCCGAGTCGAGGATGCCATCATCTGCCCCGTCAGTACACAGTACGACAAGGTCATCGAAACGGAGGGCTATGTCACCGAACTTCTGGGAGTGCCAAAGAAGAAAGAGAACCTGGCCGATTTCTTGAGCGACGGCTCGTCGGTCTTGTCTTTACGGTTAGGAAGGGTGGATGTCCGTTTCCACGAACCTTGGAGCCTTCGGGGCTTCATCTACGACCAACTGACCAAAATCACGAAATCACCCGAAACCCTCAAATTCGATGCTAGAACAGCTGAAAATGCCGCTATCAAGCAGAAACTCCTACGAACAATGGGTTACAAAGTCCTTTCCGACATCAACGATGTATCCGTCGTCATGCCGACAGCTCTGATCGGTACGGTCTTGCTGACTCTCCGAGGTCGAGGAGTGGGCATGGCTGAGCTCATGCGTCGTGTCGAATGGCTGACAACACGGGTTCGCGCCAAGGGTGGTCGAGTCGCCCATTTCGGCAATGCGCCCCTGCAAGATATCGTGGAACGCGGCCTGGAGGTTCTTGGGAGGGACCTTGTTGGTGTCATCGAGGGCTTGGCCGAGCCGACCTACTACGCCGTGGACCGATTCCAACTTTCCTTCTACCGCAACATGACCATTCACCTGTTCATATCGGAGGCACTTGTCAGTGCGAGCATGTACACCCGCGTCAAGCAAGGTGGCGGACCAGCACACCAGGAAATATCCTACACCGCATTACGAGACCAGACCCTATTCCTGTCGTCACTCTTCCGTGGCGAGTTCATCTTCCCAAGCGAAGGACTCCAAACGAACTTGGAGAAGACTCTCGTTGGTCTCGAGAACGACCACATCATCGACCTCAAGCGAGACGACCGCGGCACGATATACAGTATCGGGTTGGCGGATGCCGAGCGCCTCGCTGGCCGAGAAAACTTCGACTTCTACTGCTTCCTGATTTGGCCGTTCATCGAGTCGAGCTGGCTATCCGCCATTTCCCTGATGGGTCTCACGCCTCCACTTGACGAGAAGGAAGAGACCTGGATCGAATTCTCGAAAGCGCAGAACACTGCGCAGTTGGTAAGCCCCACTGTCTCTATATCGATTTACATCCAACTGACTGCATCCAGCTCGGCAAAACCCTCTACCACCAAGGCGATCTGAGCTACTTCGAAGCCGTCAACAAAGAAACGCTCAAGAACTCATACCAGCGCTTCCAAGAAGAAGGCATCATCTACGTTGTCAAGCCGCGGGATTCGAAGACGCCGCCGCGTCTACGTTTGGCGCCGGAATGGCGACCGTCACGGGATGCCCAGAGTGGCGCCCTCCTGCCCACGGGTCGGTTGTGGGACTTCATCGAGCGTATCGCGAGTAGCAGACGAGAGGGCAAGAACCGACGTGACGGCGCTACCGTCAGTACCCGGGTACTGAACCTGGCGGATATGCTCGGCAGGAAGCTGTTCGAGGAGGAGCGGAAGGGCCAGGCCACGCTGGATACGAGCGACAAGGAGAAGATGAAGAGTTCGGTGGAGGAGGAGAGGAAGCGGAGGGAGGCCGAGGGACGGGCGCGTTTGTGAGGAGGT